CTTGCCTTAATGCCACGATAATAATCAAGCCTCAATTACTGCTTTACCCCTCGATTCCACCACCAATTCGCTTGTATCTAGCCACAATTTCCTTAACGATATCAATAAGTGCTAAATGAATCAATTCTAATGCATGAAAATAGGTTTTCTAATGATTTCCCCAAAAAGTAAAAAATCAACCCCGGGCCCACATGGTCAAAACCCGAGGTTCGAACCAAAACCCGATCTCCCATTCCCCCACGAACTCAAATATATAATTTGTTTTGAAATTGGACCTCAAATCATGGTCCAAATCCCTAAAATTTGAAAATCCTAAGTTCTACCCAAAAACACCCAATTTCCCCATGAAAACCCTTGATTTTGAATTGAAATCATGTGAAAAGATGTTATAGATTGAAGAAAATAAGTTAGAAACGACTTACAATTGATTTGGAGAAGAGCTTTTCTTTGGAAAATCGCCCAAAAGAGCTTAGGGTTTGAGAGAGTTTAAAAAATGAAGAAATTTCGGCTAAGTTATAATTTGCACAAGTGCAGATATCGCATCTGCAAAGACTGGTTCGCAAATGCGGCTTAGGCTTCACAAATGCGAAGGTAGGTATGCCTCTACTTTCTTCGCAAATGCAAACAATTGTTCGCAATTGTGGTACATGCTATGGTCGCATTTGTGACATTGAGCCTCGCAAATGCGAAGGTCACCCCCTGCGCAGTCATCGCAAATGCGATGGTTAGTCGTAAATGCGAGCTCGTATTTGCGAGCCAGGCTTCACAAATGTGAAGCCTGTAGACCTGCAACACATCAGTTGCTGCTCCTAAGTTCAAATTCACTCTGTGGCCTGTCCAAAACTTATCCGAGCCCTCGGGGCTCCAAACGTGTAATGACCCGAACGGTCGTTTTAAGAATTAACGCCCCAATACTTTATTAACTGCTTTCCCCGCGTTTGTTTCTGCTATTTTGATTTGCCGGGATGTTTGGTTTTGAGTTACAGAGTGTTTTGGGAAATTTAGTCCCTAAATGAGAGTTTAAGCTTTAGAATTTGGGCCGCAGTTGGAGCAGTGTGAAGATCGCCTCGGAGTGGAATTCTGTTGGTTTCGTTAGCTCCATTAGGTGATTTCGGGCTTAGGGGGCGTGTTCGGATTGTGTTTTGGAGGTCCGTAGCTTAATTAGGCTTGAAATTCCAAAAGTTGAACTTTTGAAGTTTCCGGTTCGATAGTGAGATTTTGATATCGGGGTCGGAATGAAATTCCGGAAGTTGGAGTAGCTCCATAGTGTGGAATGTGACGTATGTGCAAAATTTTAGCTCATTCGGATGAGGTTTGATAGACTCTTTGATCGAAAGCGTAATATGTGAGTTTTTGAAGTTCTTAGGCTTGAATCTGATGCTAATTGGTTAATTCGATGTTGTTTGAGGTGTTTTGAAGATTTGTATAAGTTTGCATAGTGGTATATGACTTGTTCGTGCTTTTGGTTGAGGTTCCGGGGGCCTCGGAGTGGTTTTGGATGGTTAACGGGAAGATTGGAGTTGGGAATTTACAGCTAAAGCTGCTGAGTCTGCTGTCATAACCGCACCTGCGCCTTGGGGACCGCAGGTGCGAGCCCGCAAAAGCGAAAGGAAAGCCGCAGATGCGGCCGGGAGGAAGAAGGGCTGGAACCGCAGATGTGGGAGTTTTGCCGCACATGCGAGACCGCAGATGCGATGACTGGGGTGCAGGTACGGATAAGGAGGGTTAATGGGAAACCACAGAAGTGGTTGATTATGGGTAGGAGCGGTCCCCAGATGCAGAAATTTGGACCGCAGATGGGGTATAGCTGGGCAGAACATATAAATAGATGCCTTCGCAAATTTGAGTTATTTTTCATCACTTTTCAAACGGGAATTAGCTTTGGGGAGCATTTTCAAGGGAAATTTTCAGAGGGATTCATTGAGGTAAAGCCTTTGGTCCTTAAGCTCGTTATTATGGTGATTTTTATCATTTTAAGCATGAAATTTGATGGAAAATCAGTGGTAAATTGGGGGTTAGGGCTTGGTTAATTGGAGAGTTTTGATTGGTGATTTGAGGGACCAATTGAGGTCCAATTTTGGTACTTTTGGTATGACTGAACTCGTGAGAGTGTGAGGAATCCAAATTTTTAAATTTTACCCAATTTCGAGACATGGACCCGGGGGCGTTTTGGTCATTTTTCCTAATTTCGCGTATTAGCTTAGAATTAATTAGTGGAATCAGTTACTTGAAGTTATATTTACATTATGAAATTGATTTGAATAGATTTGGGTCATTTGGAGTCGACTACTCATGGGAAGAGCGTGGTTTCGGGTTGATTTTGAGCCAGTTCGAGGTAAGTGGCTTGCCTAACCTTATGTGGGGAACTCCCCTTAGGATTTGGTATTGTTGATATTTGAAATGCCTTGTACGTGAGGTGACGAGTGCGCACTTGTGCTAATTGTTGAAAATCTTATTTTCATTAAGTAACTAAACCTGTGTTTCCTTTCCTGTTTATACTACTTGCAATTTAAGCATGTTGTTAGCTTAGGGAAGCATGTCTAATTGACTTAATTGCTTATTTGCTCAAACTGCCTTATTTGGATTTTGTGCGGCATGCTAGGTTAAAAATACCTGTTTTACCTTGGTATGAAATTTGAATTGAATTGAGTATTCTTCGTGTTGTTGCTATGTGTTTACTTTGGGACTACGGGACGCTATCCCGGGAGATCCCCCTGCCTGTTTACTTTGGGACTACGGATTTGTATTCCGGTAGATCCCCCTGCACTTTTATATTGGAACTACGGGACTGCACCCGGAAGATTCCCCCAGTACTAGGTATTTACATTTGGGACTACGGATCGGGATTCCGGTAGATCCCCGCACACTATGAGTTGGACTACGGAACGGTATCCCGAGTGATCCACTGGATATTTATATTTGGGACTATAGGACGGTATCCTGGGAGATCCCCAGTTGTTATCTCTGTGTTGAGCTGTATTCTTTCCGTGATTACTTTTGTCTCTGTAATAGTTGGTGTCATTCTTATTATCCTGTGTTACTTCATACTGTTAGCATTTAATTATATTATCGTATTCTATATTGTTTTATCTCAGTTTTCAGCTATAATCAGTAGGGCCCTGACCTTCCTCATCACTACTCGACAGAGGTTAGACTTGGCACTTACTGAGTACCGTTGTGGTGTACTCATGCCTTTTCTGCACATGTTTTTCATGTGCAGATCCAGGTACTTGGACTCAGCCCTACTACCCTTGAGGCGGGGTGATCCATCAGAGACTTCGAGGTATGTCTGCCGCGTCCGCTGACCGAGGAGTCCCTTTCCATTATTTCTCATAGTATTTGCCCTTCTGTATTTACTTTTGTTTAGACACTCTGGAGTTAGAACAGTATAGTTATTCCATAGCTTGTGATTTCATGAGATTCCAAAAGTTGGGGAAATGTAATTTCATTTTGGAGAGTTTTCATTGTATATGCCGAGCGCCATCTTAAAAGCTTCAGTTGTTATTTCTGCAGTTTTGGCTAGTTTTATTCTGTTGTATCTTTTTCCGCAATTTGTTAGGTTTACCGAGTCGTAGAGATTAGGTGTCGTCACTCTAGTTCACGGAGGGTGAACTGGGGTCATGACAAGTTGGTATCAGAGCTATAGGTTCATAGGAGTCATGAATCACAAGCTGGTTATTGAGAGTCTCGCGGATCGGTACGGAGACATCTGTACTTATCCACGAGAGGCTATGTAACTGTTAGGAAAATTTCACTTCATTTGATTTCCTTGTCGTGCGAGAATTTTGATATCATAATTCTAAACTTATGTCTTATATTCTCTCACAAATGGTGAGGACACGTTATCGGTGCCCCTTTTTTCTTACGAGATAGGGTTTATGACATTTGGGAGGACAACTCATTCCTTTTGGGAATTGGGTTTGATTTAAAGAGTCGCCACCTAATGATTAGGGTGCATTAGGACACCGAGGAGATTTGATTTGAGTAACCAGAGATTGGGTAAGGGCTTGAAATTATTCTAAGGGGAAGGTGTTAGGCACCCCTCAGAATCCACTAGTGTGGTTCCTGGCCAGACTATTATTGCGAATTTGGGTACAATTAGCATATAAACAAATAGGGCTCAAATAAGAGGGGATTTCATCATATAAAGGTTTGAAAGTAAACAAGGTTTGAAAGAGTAATTAAAAAAAACTGATTTTAAAAATAAAGAGTTAAAATGTTGAAAAGTAAGAAATTAAGAATAATGGGAAAGGGGTCCTAGGCTTATTAATAATATGGATCACCCCACACAATGCCCGATAATCACTCCTCAATGGGGCTACACGTGACATTATCGCGTGGTCATCATATCCATATCTTCCCTTCCCACCCCGTTAAGGTATTAAAGCGCGGAATGGTCTCATTTACCTATTGCATGCTACTACCCGTCCCAATCCTATCAGTCCCGGAGGCATGAGGACTACTAATCCTAAAGGGAAGGGATGTTAGGCTTATTTGTGGTTTCAAAGGGGAAAAATTCTAAGGCGACATACAAAACACGAAAAGTTGGGGGAAAGTACATAACAAGCGAAGGCTCAAATATACCTCCTTTAAACAAAGAAGCACGTAATTAGCATGAATTACACATACTGTTAAGGTCTGATTAAGTACTAAACATACAAGAGCTTAAAGGTTGAGGCAGGCTGATTTATTACACAACTCAGATAAGAAGCCCGAATCAGGCGTGCCGGCTGGTTGTATTTATTAACAGAACTGATTTAATTTATAACTTTACCCTAAGGCTTGCCTAAGTGTCGGACAAGGATCCTACAGGCATGGTATCTATTGAATTCAGAAAGCAACGAAATAACAGGGTTTAAAGTAAACTGGACACATACTGATTAAAAGAGGAAGCAGATTGTTAAAAGAAAGGCCAGTTTTTTAATGAAGATTATAAGTTCTACGGCTAACAGTACCCATTGTTACTNGAACTAAATTAAAATTTTAAAGGGTGCATTTGAATGAGGAAAAACATGCTTTGTTTCCCTAAATCTCCTCTATAAAAGATCCCTTTTCCAATCATTAGGAAAAAAAGGGAAGGGGAAGAAAAGATAGGCAAACGGCTGAAAACATAAATTTTCATTTTTCTAAAAAGTGTTCTTGAGAAGTTTCGAGCTTTCTTTGGTCTTGAGGTGTTTTTGCTGGGTTTCAGAAGTTGGAGCAGAAATTTTGGGTTTATTGATTGCTGGTTTTGCTGAGCTGAACTAAGAACTTCAGATTTCTTTTGTTTCTTCTCGCTGTTTTTCTTTTTTGCTAGGTATGTTTCTGATCTTTTGTATTTTCTGTTGAGTTTTGTGAGTGAAATGTTGGGTTTCTTTAAACACACAAGTCTGATTTAGTGAATCTGATAACTTAGCTGTGCAAATTGCTTGGATTTCCTTCTCTAATAATCTATTTCGTGTGTGTATGATATTTGAACTAAGGGTTTTATTTTTTATCATTCACATAAATGGTTCATTGTTGGAATTTCTACTCTGTTTGGATACTGATTTATATCAGAAATGATGTTGAAGATGATAAATTTGTTACCTTTCATCTTTTAATAAGTATTATCTCGACAAGTTTAGTTATTAGATTGAGAAGTTCATCAATTCCATGTTTTGTTGAATACAGATTGAAGTTGTAGCAGATGGCTAATGTCAGAAGTATTAAAGACTGAACTACAAAATTGATTGGTTGTATTTGCTGGAATTTTATTATGGTGAACTGAGGAATGATTATTTTGATATCTTGTTATAGCTTTAGCATACAATTTCTTGGTTGTAGCCTTTCACAGTGTATAAGTTTGTTTTGAAAGGTGTAATTGAATCCCTGTTAAAAACAATACTTCTATCATTCTCTGAAGTTCCTATTAGAAATTTAATTCATTAGCTTACTGTCAGAATTCAGCATTTTGCCAAACGTATATTTCAAGATGTTCAGTAAAAAGTAGTATGATTTTGGTATTTTGTCCTAGGATAATTACCAAAAATTTGGTTATTTATGTAAAGAGTTTGTATTTAGTCATTGTGATGGGCTTAGTCGAAATTAGTTATCAGCCCAATAAAGAATTTCAGCGAGGCAATGAGAGCCCAATATTTTCATAAACAAGACTATACATCCGGCCCATTTTCTTGTAATTAAAACTCACGATTTTTTTTAAACTCAATTCTCATATTCTTTACTCAAAGTTGATTGTATTTAGTTTTATAATTTTTTATTATGACCATTTGTGATACTTCTTTTAGTATTCAGATACGCATCTACCCCAATTAATTTCACAATTTCAGACCCTCCTATGTAATCTTAAATTATAGACAAGTAATTGAATCTTATTAATATGCGTAGTTGCTTTTAAGCGCCATTAATAAATGAATCATCACGGCTATGGGTACGGTTTCCGTGACATAGTTGTGATACCTAATTTCCAAATTCGAGTGCAGATTTCATGTGACCCGACAACAACTTCGAACAATAAAAATTACACATGTTGTAAATTGTGGGTACGGTTTCCCATGACACAATCCGCAACATGTACAAAAACAAACAAGTGTACGACAATCGTAACTTTTTCCAGAAATAGCTCCATAAATAATAAAAGCGGTTATAAAGTTAAAATGCACAATAGGTTTAAAACATGTAATTAATAAGATAATTAGGCTAATTATTAATAGTTAAGCGACCGTGCTAGAACCACGGAACCCGGAAATGACTAACACCTTCTCCCGGGTTAACAAAATTCCTTACCTAGTTTTCTGGTTTTGGAGACTTTTATATAAAGTCAAATTTCCCCGATTTGGAATTTAAAATAAACCGGTGACTTGGGACACCATAATAAATATCCCAAGTGGCGACTCTAAATAAATAAATATTTCATTTCGAATTATGTCACTTTAATTGGAAAAACTCCCTTATACCCCCTCTCGGGTAAAAAAGGAGGTGTGACACATAACACCATCGCTACGCAGAACCTCAACACATAAGAAATTTATCAAGATGTTTCATAACTCACACGGCCCAATATAGCATTACATGAATTAGCCGACGACGAAATAGCATCCAACACCCAAATACTCCTTCATAGGGAGCGCTATGCTGAAATGAACACATTCGGCCTGATATAGAGCCCATATCCATATTTAAATCCATTCATAGACCTCGAGCTGATTCTGATCGCACCATACTAAGCTAGTAACCTTTCAAGGGTCCATAAGTACCCCTTTTTACTATAACTCACCAGAACAACCATCATAATCGGAGTAAACCTCTACAGTCCACTACCCAATAAACCTAGTGCCCTTCAAGCATAAATTCTCAAATTAGTAATACTACCACAATCTTCATATTTGGTTTAACTCTTCAATCAATCAGGTGAGTACATGTCACAATCATACAATTTTCTCATGAGATTCGCTCCCATGACCTCCTGCACTAGGTAACAAGTCTGCACATCCATACAACCAGCCACACTAATGATGTAAAGCAAATCAAGAATCCATAACCGGGATGCAAGGCCTCTTTCACAAAACACTGATTTCAGGTGCCGGTGAAGACAATACCAGCTTACTTTAAACATTCAAATCCCTTTCCTACTCATCTGAGCTCGTAACATCCTTGCCAATACCGAACCGCAACTTTTATCCTCACTTTCAAATTTTATACTGCTCACTTCACTTAACATGCTAATATACGACAGTGTAAGAATTTCATCGTAACTTCTGAACCGCGAATAGGGTATACACTTCATCATACAAAAACCATTTACTTAACTGATTCCAAGAGAACCATAGCAATACGCGAGTAACTTCTCATAACCATAGAACATTCAACCTCAAGTAGTGGTCTAAACCACCATAACCCCTCCGTGATCCGACTACACATAACATGCCATAATATTTGAATACTTCCAAATAAAATCAATTACGGCAGCCGTCGAGCCTTGCACGCACCGCCACATATCACACGCATAACTTAATCACGCTGAACGAACTGATTACCACCACCATTATACCAAGTCAACCATGGTTAGCCAATCTGACTTCTCCTAATTCATCCTTGTCTTGCCTTAGATATAATATTAGCTCTATTCCTTACATTACCAGCCTAAATCCGCACTCATCTTGAGTGACCCAAATCTATGAGACCACATTGTCTCCAAACCCATGAACCGTTTCATGCCCTCTTTGCACGCACATTCACACCTTCAACTGATACACCCCTCGTAATAATTCCTCTATAAATCCGAAGTCTTTTCCTCCCAATGCTACACCGCAAGTCAAAAATATCATAGATCATTCCGAGCCTCGTATCATAATCTGCTTCAAAAGCTTGATTCTTAACAGTGTTGCGGGCTTGAAATCTTTGGGCACCGCATTTTACCCTTTTAACTTCACTAGAACTGTCGTTGAGAGTCGCCCACTCTGTCTTGGTCCGGCATATAATCAACTCCAAGGCTCCGCTGGCACATAAACATCCATCTCCATGAAACACCTGACGGAATCACTTCTCTTGTAAACCATCTCTGTACGAAGCATAAATCCTGAATCTTCCCAAAGCCTGAACGTGAGTCAATAAGGCCAACTATGGCACACCTTTATCAATTCCTTTGCTCAACTTACCACTTACGTTCTTTCCTTTAGCCGAAATAACTTACCAATACGCCATACCCAAAACCTCACAAGAAGATAACCATGCACCCAAACATAAGAGCTTTCCGGAAATGCGCCAGGACTACACACACAAATCGAGGTGATATAAAAGAGGTTTTTAACGCCTCAAAACTCAGAATTTACTTTAAAAACGAGTGATGACTTTTTGGGTCATCACATTCTTCACCTCTAAAATAATCGTTCGTCCTCGAACGAACATAAGAAAAGTACTTTAGTCGAAGAAAAGATGGGGATATCGGCTCTGCATATCGGACTCGGACTCCTACGTAGCTGCCTCGGCAGGCTGACCTCTCCACTGAACACGAACAGAAGCGAATCTCTTCGATCTCAACTGACGAAACTGCCGGTCTAGAATAGATAGCGGCTCCTCCTCATAGGACAAGCACTTGTCCAACTGGATAGTGCTGAAGTCTAACACATGGGATGGATCGCCGTGATACTTCCGAAGGATGGACACATGAAATACTGGGTGCATGGCTGATAAACTCGGTGGCAACGCAAGACTGTAAGACACCTCTCCCACTCAATCAAGAATCTCTAAAGGACCAATTAATCTAGGGCTTAGCTTGCCCTTCTTTCTAAATCTCATCACGCCCTTCATAGGCGACACCTAAAGTAACACCCGCTCGCCGACCATGAATGCCACATCATGAACCATACGGTCGGCATAACTCTTTTGCCTGGATTGAGCTGTACAAAGCCTATCCTGAATGATCTTAACCTTGTCCAAGACATCCTGAACTAGATCTGTACCCAACAACCGAGCCTCTCCCGGCTCAAACCACCCAATCGACGACCGACACCGCCTACCATATAAAGCCTCATAGGGAGCCATCTCGATGCTCGACTGGTAACTATTGTTGTAGTCAAACTCCGTTAAAGGCAAAAACTGATCCCAGGAGCCTCCATAGTCAATAGCACAAGCTCAGAGCATATCCACCAAAATCTGAATAGTACGCTCAAATTATCCGTCCGTCTGAGGATGAAATGTTGCACTCAACTCGAACCGTATGCCCAACTCATGCTGAACTGCCCTCTAGAAATATGAGGTAAACTACGTACCTCAGTCCAAAATGATAGACACGGGCACACCATGAAGACGAACAATCTCCCGAATATAGATCTCTACCAACCGCTCAGAAGAATAGGAAACCACCACAGGAATGAAATGCGCTGACTTGGTCAACCTATCAACAATAACCCACACTGTATCGACTTCCTTTAAGTCTGTGGGAGTCCAACAACGAAGTTCATAGTTATACGCTCCCACTTCCACTCAGGAATCTCAATCTTCTGGAACAAACCACCAGGCCTCTGATGCTCGTACTTTACCTGCTGACAATTCAAACACCGAGCCACATATGCAACATTATCCTTCTTCATCCTCCTCCAACAATAATGCTGCCACAAATCCTGATACATCTTAGCGATGCCCGGATGAATAGAGTACCGGGAACTATGGGCCTGCTCTAGAATCAACTCTCGGAGTCCATCCACATTGGGCACACAAATACAATCTAGAATCCTCAAAACTCCATCATCTCCCACTGTAACCTGCTTGGAACCACCGTGTCGCACTGTGTCTATAAGGACAAGCAAATGAGGATCATCATACTACCGATCTCGGATACGCTTAATTAAGAACGAGCGACTGTGCAAGCTAACACACGGCTAGGCTCAGAAACATCCAACCTCAGGAACTGATTGGGTAAAGCCTGAACATCCAAAGCAAGCTGTCTCCCACCGACCGGAATATATGCAAGACTACCCATACTGGCTGACTTTCTACTCAAAGCATCGACCACCACATTAGCCTTCCCCGGATGATATAAGATGGTGATATCATAGTCTTTCAATAGCTCCAACCGCCTCCTCTGCCTTAAATTTAGCTCTTTCTGCTTGAACAAGTATTGCAAACTCTTGTGATCCGTGAACACCTACATGACACGCCATATAAATAGTGCCTCCAAATCTTCAGCGCGTGGACAATGGATGCTAACTCCTTATCATGAACTAGATAATTCTTCTCATGAATATTCAACTATCGCGAAGCATAAGCAATAACCATGCCATTCTACATCAACACCGCACCAAGTCCAATACGAGATGCGTCATAATAAACTGTAT